ATTCGAAATTCATATCTGCTTGAAAAAGAGGGGGAGTTGCTATGTGTTTAACGCATTTGTTGACTTTAATAGAAAATTCATTGAACTTCTTCACATTTAACGTAACCTTTACCGCCGTACATACATTTCCCCCCAATTTTTTTAACTCAATTTCGTGTAACATACCATAGAGGTATAGAGGTTACTTGGTTCAGTAATTAATTATAATGTTTTTTTTTTAATATTTAAAATGTATACATCATATATATGTACTTATTTATATGTCTGTTATTATTAAAATATTATTGAAAGTAAGGTTAAACATCGCAACCGTGAAATTTGTTACAATTTAAAAGTTTCATTAAAATTTGATTCAAGATTATGTCAACGACCTGTAACTAATTTCATTGACATTTATTTCTTTCCTTTATATACACGAATATACATATATATATATATATATTATAACTTTAATATTTATTATGTATTTTTTGTCAGTTTGTCAGTTTGTATGTTAAGTTTTGCCTCAAAACTCTTTTCGAACATTAAAAATGTATCTGCGAAATTTTGTTGGCGGTTTGTTGTTTTTTGTACAAAGACTTTCTAAAATTATTATGATTTATTCGCAATGTAAACAAATGCGGTTTTTGTGAAAAGTGTTGAATGAAGTGTCGCTTTTTTATATACCTACGCATTATCTTGACTCTCCTTGACTTTTTGAAAAATTATACCAACAAAAGTGTTTAATGTATATGTCAAGTATGATTGATATGTGCTTTAAAACCGTTTGTACTCGAGTATTTCTGCTTTAGTCAGTGTTATTGATGGACAAATGAAAATAAAGGAAGATCCAATGGAACACCTAAATCTCTCACTATTCTATATATATTCTCATCTCCAACTCCACCCAAGTATAGCTATCTCTTCGTATCAACATTAGCACGCTTACCTTCCAATTTCCTTTATGTTGTAAGACTGACATGTGGGCATTTTTAAGACTGTACCTATCACTTTCATTTTTATTTCTATACTGACTTTCTACTCGTATGTCGAAATAATCAAATTCAATAAAAAAAGTTTTAAAAATCAAAGCCCTACAAGCATAAAGTACACACGGTCTACCAATTTAATAGTATAAAATTAGATTAAACACATTAGTTTGGGGGCTTGAAACAAAAAGGAATAAAAGAATTAGATTTGTAGAGTTTGACATTAATTCGTACGGAAAACAGACACCTTAAAAGGAATAAAGAAATTAGATTTGTCAGGTTTGACAATAATACATGCTAGAAACAGATCCATTGAATTAGTTTATATTTAGAAATGGGTTGGGAACTATGTCACCACGTTACTGCATCCTTTGAGTATCATTCTGACAAACCCACTTTAATTCCTCAGCTGTATAGCAGTTAAAAACGCCATTGTGTGCCTTGGAGAGCCCAATATTAAGAAAAGAAATATTTTTTTGGGCCGGATACTTATGTGTTAATAACGCCTCAAGTGTCAAATAAAGATATTTTTATTTATATTGTATATTTTACACAATACATTCAAATTATTCTATTATTTTTAAACTTCACGAACTTTGTTCTATTATAGAGAAAATTAATTTATTATTTTCCTTTATACTTTGTTTTAGTTTTTATCTATTTAATTAACTGATGTTGAGCCTTTTCCGAGTTAGTGCATCTGGGTGCTTTTACTCTATGATGGATGGGGGGTTTCTGCAGAGTCCCATCCATCTCACTGACTAATTTGAGTATTTCTTATAATCTTCGTTATTATTCAATGATTGATCTGCGTACCGCTCAGTGCGGTTAGTGATTACTCTGAGTTTAGATAGTGCTAAGTAGGGCAGCCTGTCGGTTTTCGCATATAGCTTCAGAACTCTGTCCCTTATGTATTTTTTGACCGAATCTATTCTAAGGTCTCTTAGCATGTCATTCGTGCGGATGCACCATGGCACTTTTATTTATATAATTTTTCTTTTAAATAATATCATGTTTCTTGCCTAATACGAAATCAAGATCACTGTTTCAAGATTAACATGATTAAAAAGTTAGCAATATCTAAGAAACCTAAATTTGCTTATATAATTTTTTTTATTTTAGAAACTAACTATAAATTTAATTAAATTTATCTATATCATAAATTTAATTTTATGATATAGATCTCAGGGTCCCATTCAGGGACCATTCAATAAAAAACAAACACACACTTCACATTTAACAATCGCATATTTTATACAGACTAGATTCTTATAAGATATAAATACTTAAAATGTATAAAAATTGCAGCCTCTAAAAGGCTTGCTCCTTAGGGCAGTTAGATATCTTGCCCTGAGGATATGACATCCCTGCACGTTCGCTTGAGTTCAGAATCATTAAGTCTTCTCTATAAACGATACAAACATTTTAATTTTATCTTAAGTATACGACATCATTAATTATAAATAAGTGTATATACATAATTGTATATTTCTTCTTTAGCGTTTGGTATTTATTGAAAATTATCGTTGGAAACCAGATAGAAAGCATAATTTTAATTAAAGGAATCTACCATATATGTGGTATATTCTTTAATATGTGTATATGAACATTACACGCAACTGATGCCAATAAGAGATACTGAAGTTATTCATATGGAAATGTTTGCCTGCAGAGTGTCAAGTGCAATGCACTTCTTTTAAGTGAAGTTGTTGATTGTATGATGCTTATTTCCATTTCCTTTGCTGTACATGCAAATCAAAAGGAAACATTTTAATAATATTGAAGCAGTTATAGATACAGTTTTCATTGCTGTGGCCGTCTCTGCATTTATCTGCACTTAATGTCATATCATTTCTTAGAAATTAATAATCAACTACATGAACGAACATAACCATTAAGTAGACAACGAACATCTGCATCATAAATACTTTAAGATACACATAAATAAAAGATAAATCCATGCAGGCATACTCGCCATACAGCGGGTATCCATGATTTGTTTTGCTTCTCATCCGTCAAACGTTGGAATAACACTCAATATATATTAAATGAGAAACATTAAAAGCAAACATATTGCAATATTGCTATTAAAGGAAATAAAAATAGAAATGATTTAAAGTAGATTTAGAGCTATTTATACGAGTAAAAGCATCTTCCACTTGGAACATGTGAAAATTACACGTCTAATAATTTAGTAAGGAATATGAATATTCTTCGAATGTTTATTACTTTTCATATGGTTAATAAATTAAAAAAAATTTTTTTTTTTATTTTATTTACCACATTTATTACACTACAATATATTTGAGTGATTGTATCTTGTGAAATACGATTTATAGGAAAATACTATTTCATGTTATTAACATATATATGAATTCAGGCAATTAGGAATTGTACATATAAAGTAAATTTAATGTAAAGTTGATTTGTCGGACCATTCTGTCAAACTTTTTAATTCATACAAAATAATTAATAAAAAATTTTAGAACAAATACTAAATAATTACCCAACAAAAGTTCAAGTATTCATCAAGTCAAAGTCTATATATGTATCGTTATAATAAATATATTTAAAATAAATAATTTAAAAATAAAACAACAAAATATTAAATATTTATCAAATATTTTACTTTTAAATACAATAAAATTATTATGTTGAGACTAGTTGAGTCATAACCCCTCTTTACGCCTTGACTGGATTATTGTTTATTACTTCATCAGACTAAACAATAATTGATCTTAGATCTGCATACCTCCCCGAGGAGCCTAAAACCATTCTGAGATTCGATACAGCGGTGTTGGTAAGCATGTCAGTTTTTGTAAATAATTTCAGGGCTTTGATTGACTCTACTACAATAACAATAATCAAACTGTAAACGATTAGAACTGTTCTATCTAGTATTTTTTTTTTTGGAGGAGTGGAATACCTACGCACTGACCACAATCCGGCGGCCCGGAAAGTGAGTGTCCGACTCGCACGGACTAAACCAACTCCTCCTCATTCCTAGAGACCTTGTCCTACCCCGGGACTACGTTAGTATTACATCGAGGTAGGGTGTCTATTAGTCATTTAAGACTTCCATCAGTGTGACCTGGTATTAGATGTATCTGGTATTAAGACTTCTATCTGGTATTAGATGTAATAGTATTGTTGATAATGTTAAATAATAGTTTAAATATAATAGTAATAATATATTAATATAATATAGTATATTTATAGTAAATGCTACAGAAGTAATATCAAACTTAGTATCAAGATTGTTAAGGAACTACAGCGAGAATCAGGAAGTTTCGTCGTTTATGAACTGTTATATAGTGCGTGAGTAAATGAAAAACATTTCTGGATATTAGTATTTTTTGAGGACTTTTATCAGTATTAATAAACATAATTTTTTGATCGTTATATATCCAGGGGATATGTCCAACAACAGATAGCTGTCTTAAGTTATACCTCATTGCAACTGTACTCCCGAATGTTTACTATTTAGCAAATGTTTGTAGGCAGGGCTGGCTAACCATTTTTGGTTTTCTAAGCGGGCAAAATGACAAATTTTTAATCATGTATAACTGATTGAAGGATTGTGAATTTAATAAAAAAAATAATACTAATAATTTTTTTGTTTTCAAAACGAAATAAATATATTGCACTCTTCTTGTGTAAGCAAACATTTTTTTAGTCTTAAGTGAATCACACAACAAAAAAGATTGAAAAGCACTGATCTGATGTGTTCAGATTACAACCGCTCAAGCGGCAGATAGGCGACACCGTGCGTTTTTTACCGGGCTTAAATAATTTTTTATTTATTTTACCTTTACTTATTTTGCTTATAATATACGCAGGATTTATTATTTCTTTAGTAAAATTCTAATTAAAATTAATTAAAATTTGTACGTGAACATGGTTAAAAAAAATTATATGAAATGATTTTATATATATTAGTTATATAAAAAAATGCGTTTAATTATAGCTATGAAATTTGTGATATTTATTAAAATATATGTCTATTGTGTTGTGTGCCAAAAACTAATTTTAATATTTCATAATGTTCCATATATAATACTTTTAAGTATTTATCCATTTTTTTTTTATAAATAATTGCAATTGATTCAATCATATTTTAGTAGCCATTACATGCTGTATAGCACCAAATCTTATTTATATCCATAGTGTTAAATTAAACCTCTGTGTTTTAGATCCATAACAACAAAACCATATTGTACAAAATTAACAGATCAAACGTTTGCTGCCGCCGTTGAAGCGATAAGTATCGCTGTATCGTTGTGAGCGAGAGATTTGCTCATGAATAAATGGAGTTTCTTAATTAAAAAATATCTCCCATTTTTTCCAAGCAATCTAATTTCAGTTCGTTGAAGATCCAGTTGAGAATCCGTGTTACAATAACAATATGGATTGTATAGTTTCAGTACATTATGCTGCGCTTATGATGATTATGTTGTGCATAAAAGATAGATTTTTAGTTATGTTCTTTCCAAATTTGACAATCATTAGCAGTTTCAAAATCATGCATATAAGAAACATTTAGCTGAATTCCATGAACGAAACTATTTTCAACCTAAGATAATTAGGTCGTAAAACGGAGGAATTACATGGAGTTAAAGTTTGCTAACGCCATCCAAGCAATAAGTATCGCTGTATCGTTGTGAGCGAGAAATCTCCTTATGAATAAATGGGTTTCTTATATGCATTAAGAGGGAGATATTTTTTCCAAGCAATATAGTTTCCGTTCGTTGAAGACCCAATTGAAAATCAGTGTTACAATAACAATATGGATTGTATAGCTTCAGTACGTTATGTCACGCTTATAATGATGTTGTGCACAAAAGAGAGATCTCAGTCCTGTTCATTCGGATTAGTATGTTCATTTAGCTGAATTGAATGAACAAAACAATTTTCAACCTATGATAATTAGGCCGTATCTCGTACTCTTGTCCATTATCCAATTAGTATTTCAATAGTTCTAATACTGTTTACATAGGCAATAGTTATTCTGCACATTACATGTCTAATTTAGGTAGTCTTTCTTTCAAAATCATATCGTTAGAACTACACGTTTGACTAACAATAATTTTTGATTAATGAAAAGTAAGTGCGATTTGCCTTTAGTTCCATTCAAATTAAAAACGTGTCATTGTAATAATCTTAGGAGATAACATCAACTGTGTAGACAATATAAAAAAATATGTTCATATTTTTATATTAACAAATAAGAGATTAAGTTAAATTTTACCTCTAATTCTTTGAACTCTCTCGCCGACATTAATTTTGTATTCTCGAAATTTTTCATTCTCTGCTGATAGGGCAAATAGTTTTCTGTAAAGTAACCACGAAAAAAAGTTCTCATTATTGACATCATATGATATATAGTTAAATTTCTTATCACGTATTTCGTTTATTAAGATATTTCAATATTAAAAAAACAAATAAAGTAAATCGACAAAAATATATCAAAGAAAGATATTAGCTTTGGGTTTGCTGCCATATGATTGCTAAGATATCAAATTAAATCTACATTGACATTGTTAAGACTGGGACATCGATTAACAAAAAATATTGTTTATAGGGAAGATTGTTAAGAAAGTACAGTGGTAACCAAGAAGTACAAAATCGTCTTCTTTTTGTCGTTCAAAAAAGGATGAATATTCGACAGAAAGGTATTGTCAATGGAATTGTTTAGTCTTGAGAGAGGTGTACCACAAGAGGTTAAGAGGTTAAACACAAAAAGTTAACGACATTCTTGGTTCACTAAAACAACGCGAAATTTTGATTAAATTAAATTAAATATATTCTTTATTTAATAAAATTTAAGAGGTTATTTCTAAAGAAAATTGTCTCCATTTGTTTAGTGTGATTATTCAATATCAATGCTATACCTTATGAAAAAGTTCAATATATAACAAATATATTAGTTTTATTTGGTATACATTTACTAATTGAATTTAACTCACCTTGGTTATTTGATTCGTTAACTACTTCATTGAAGGCTTCCTTTGCCACAGCTGATATCTTTGAATCCTCTATAAAAAAATATAAAATATGCTTTTATATAAGAAATTTTTAATTTTTTACTTTATTTACTTGTCGTACGAGAATCTCTGCCATCCGGGAGATAAATAATAGCACTGCCACCAACCTTGTTGGAAGTCACTACCAATTACATTTCCACTTATAATAAATTATTTACTTTATTAAATAATATAACTCACCTTTATTGTCAGAGGGCATGTTATTTTTCTGCTGGCCTTAAAATAATATGTACTTAATAACATTGTATAGGATTATATAGTTCACAAACAAACTAGTTCATAAAAATATGACATTTAGTTCATTTTGGTAGATCATTTAGAATACACAGTTAATAGTTAAAAATAGCTTATTTTAGAACAAATTTGCTCTTTTAATAACATAGTATTAATATCGATAGATATTCGATAGAGGATATATGGGTTTATAAGTATAATCTGCAAAGAAGCTAGTAATTTTTAAAATGACTGTTAGACAAAATTGAAAAATCGATATCAAAATAGACACTGTAAAAAACTTTATGGTATAATAGTTAAAATAGATTGCGTAACAGTTCAGTCTGAGTATCGTAGAATAGGTCAGTGTGGTGGTATCTTTAACGCATATTAATTTTCATATTCATATATTATAAGTCTCGAATACTTTTTACAAAGAATATAAAAATTCTGTTTATTGTTAAAATTTTGTTACAAATTTATTTACTGTTTATATTTTTCGCTTTTCTAGTGCTGTTAGCTGGCGCTCCACTTTAAAAACACGGGTAAAGGAATTTAATTGCAATTGTTTTATTTGAAACGAACGTGCTAGTTAATCGATTTATTATAAAGAACTAATATTTTCTTATTTTAAACAATTTCAAATTTAAACAATTTAAAGCAATATGTTTTAGTGCTTTAGTTTTTGCTAAATAATATAACCCACTACGATGTTAAAACCCACTACGATTATAATTTTATAATTTATTATTATTTGTGTATTATTGTTTAATATTACTTACTTTGAACTAAGCCAAGTTTTTCATCTCGTTGCATGTGCAGTGCTTAAAATTATATTATTTTAATATTTTATTTTTTAAAATATTTTTGAGATCCTGCTTATTTGCATTTAAAGTTAACATTACTTACCCTCTACAATTTCTCCAGTTTTTATCTTAGCTCTATAAGCGAGTTTTTCCTCCGTCCATCGAATTGGTTCTTATAAATAAAAAATTTACAAAATAAAATAAAATATTAAATTAATAAAATATTTAAATATTTAATATTTATTTTTATTTTTGTTTTATATTTAATATGTATTAGTATTTCAACACTAATATATTCATTTCTTTTTAATATTAATTAAAATTTATAATTTTTTATATATTTAATTAATATTTTTTTATATATTTACTTACGTTGACGCAAATCTTTCGTTTGCATTTGACGGTTTCCTAACTCGGCAAGATCCTTAACGACTTTATTTTTTTTTTAAATAATACTATTTATTTACTGATCTATATTGTATTATTAAATTTTACTTACTGGATTGGGTTGCCGATTGTTTTATATACGACGACTTGCAAAAATTATATTCTTAAAATAATTTATTTTAGTTTTTATTAATATTATAAGATATGTTCCTTACCTACGTCTGCTCGCTGTGCTTTTACTGGATGTAGGAAGTCTCTCCTTTTAATGGGAGGTGTTAGAGAAAAGTTATTACTTCTTAGATTTCGTATTTTATTTAAACGATTGAATAGATGTGTCTGTCTGAACATTATGACGAATTTTGGTTTTCTAATTAATGCGGTAAATTTTGACCCGAAATTTTTAATACCAAAGAGTAAATTTTGAAATCACAACTTTTTTATAAGATTTTGAATTGAAATGTTATGGTTGTTAATTTTTTTTTCGGTATCTCGCCTACTAAATTTATTTAATTTTAAATATTTTTATTGTGATAACTAGATTTATGTTAATAATTTTTATATATTTTTTCACGTGCTAATTGGTCAATTGCTGAAAAAATACAAAAATTTTTAAATTATTATTATAATATATATTTTGTTGTCACCAACATTCCGATTATAGGGTGTAGTTATCTTTAAGATGAATATTTCGACTATAGTTTATAGTCATCTTCAAGATGGCTTAATTGTTTTTAATCTTTTCTATATTTCCTTGTTTATTTTTTTTTATATATATAAACAATTTTTTTTCCTATTTATTTTTCTCTATATTTTTATTATCCCACATTTTTTTCTATAAATGTTTATATATAAAAAAGAATCTTTACGTTTTCTTACGTTTTTTCTGTATTGTTGTTCTTTTTCATTTCTTTTATATTGTTATTCTTTTCTATCTTATAGATTATGGATTTCTTCTCTCTTTTTAATAGTGTTATTTTTTTCGATTGCTTTTATTTTGATGTTTTTTTTTCCATTTCTTTTGTTTATTTTATGGATTAATTTCCACAAGATCATTTTATATATATTATATCATGTTTTCACTACAGCGAATACCATGTTGTCACTTTACTTAGGCAGTGTTCGAGTTCGAGTAAATTGAGATAAAGTAAATTGAAATTTTCTAGGGATTTCCTTATGTAAATATTTATTTATTTATTTATTACACTTTACATTATTTTTAGTTAAAATGTTTCAAATTTATTTATTTATTTATTAAAACATCTTATAAAATTTTCAAAATGGTAACACTTAATTTTTATCTAATTTACCCTACTCAAAATTCTGGCAAATACCAACATTGGCTGCCATACTGACAGAATTTACTATTTCCCTCAATTTACCAACAATTTACTCGAACTCGCACACGGCCTTAGTAAGTTACTTGGGTAACGTTAGAATTTTGTCGTTTCCATTGATAAAATTTACTTATTGCATGTGAAAGAGCTTTTATGTTGTGTCAGATAATTCTTTAAAAGTTTTAATAGAGCTTATGTTTCTTTATAGAAATTTCACTTAATAAACATAACACAAAATATTAAATATATAATTGATATATTAAATCATTTATATACATTTTATATATTATATATTCAATTAATAAAAACAAAGATTTTATTAATTACTTACTTTCTTAGTAAGTTTGTTTATAGCTCCGCTGTTTACATTTTACGTATAAAACATATAACACATATATCAAATTTTGGTAATTTCCCTTGTGGAAAATTTATTTTTAAGGGTTGCATTCGACAATTTTCGTCTTAAATCAGTAGATTTATTTATAATGAGCTCATTTATATAAAAGCTCTTTGTATGGTAAATTATTCTCAATTACTCTTTAACTAACAAATGCTAAAATGAGACAATGAAAATATGGTATTATTCTGTTTCTTCTTTCTTTTTTATATTGACATTTTTCGCCTTTAATCAATTAATATATTTATAATGAGCTCATTTAGCTTTCATATGAAAGCTCTTTGTATGTTAAATTATTCTTATTAGCGACCTGAACGACCAAATGCCTAAATGAAACAGTGGAAACATGATATTATTCTGTTTCTCTTTTTTTTTAAATAATTTTTCTTTTCTATTTCTATTTTTTTTGTATTACTTTCTTGTTGCTTTATTACTTTTATATTTATTTACACTTTCGTCAGTTTTAGATTACACTAGCCATGATTAGATTCAATTCTACTGAATCCATTATGTTAGTATACGCCTTAGGGCGCATTTTTGAAATTATAGGTAATATGCGCTAATGCCTACATTAGTACTCAATTATCTAAAGTTGAAGCAATTTAAAATAATATTCTAAAAAGCTACTGCATAGCTACTTCAATCAATTTTTGTTTTGTAACTCAATACTACTCGTCACTACCTGATTCCGCCTACAATAATAATTGCTTGTTTATGTATGTTTTTATGTCAACAATCTCGATACAATAGCGTTTTCTGCTGTTTTGCAGTTTCTTAATTTTATTGCAATTGAGCGCAAGTATCGCATATTTTGCGAAATTTAATACTTTTACATTTCAATAAAATTAAAAAAAAATTATTGTCATGCAACTTTGCGCACAAATTGAGCAAAAAATGTTGTCGTAATTTATAATTTAATTACAGTATTAAATTATTTCGAGTGTCGTGTTTCATCGATTATTGTACGGAACAATTAATTGTTGAGATAGTTTTCTCATTCAGATACTTTACTGTATCTCATGTGTTGTAGTGTGTTGAATTATTTGCGAAAGACTTTGTGTTTCTCTTGTTATTTTCTTTGACGGTCACATCTGTTTTTTATTAAATATTTAAGGATGATTAATATTTGTTTAAAAATAACATCAGAACTACACACATGCAATGCTTACGATTTATATTTAATACGACTCCAAATAAAGTGCAATATCTACAATGTTTATATTGAAAGTCATTAGTTTTAATATGATTTCGTTTTTAAAATAAAAACTAATTTTTAAATTAATTAAAAAAGTAGCTAACATATGACCATTTTAAATTAAAAAAAATTTTTGGAGACAATAATGAAATAAAGTCAGCAAAATTTACAATTATGACTTAGTAGTAAATATAACTTAAGACTAATAATTCTATATATATTATATTATAATATGTAATATATTATAATGTATAATACATTTATCATATGGATCTATCTTCACAAATGCCAATACAACCAACAACAAAATTCTTTAAACCATTGCTAAGAACTCCTGAAGTGTTCCACAGCACTTCTGTGGGGCATTTTAGTTATTATTATAATAACAGATATCCTTTCATATTAATTTTTTGTCCTGAGGTATTCGTTAAATCATTGACTATTCTAATTTAATGAATTATGTATTCATTATATAGAACTACAAATTAGAAAACTAATATAAAAGAAAATTTGTTGCTGAAATAATAACTAGACTTTCCTCACAAAAGTACTGTGGATTACTTGAGATTTTTTATAATAAGGATTTTGGAAAATAATATACATTATCCCAAAATTATGATTTTACAAAACTTACAATGTATCTTGATCCTTTTTTCGAGTCAGCGCAACTGGGCACTTTTACTCTTTGATAGCTGGGGGTACTTTGTAGTACCCACCCATCTCATTGACTAAATTATATATTCCCTATAAGCTTCATGATTATTCAGTGATTGATCTAAGATCTGCGTATCTCCCCGTGCGGAAAGTGATTACTCTAAGATTAGATAGTGGTAAGTAGGATAGCTTGTCAATTTTCCAATATAACTTCAGGGCTCTGTGTCTTATGTATTTTTTGCTCGGGTCTACAATGGAAAGCATATAAAAAACTAATGGAGATAATAAGCAACCAAACGTATATAACTTTTTTAAAAAAATAAGAACCGGAAAAACTACCGGAATTTTTTTATAAAGTACGAAATATTTCATTATTAAACTATATTTACTTTAGCTCCATTTGTTGCAACACTTGTGCCAATGTTTTATCCACTCATTAAAACATTTTTATAAGGACTATCCGCGGAATGGTCCTTAAATGTTTCAACGAATTTTGTTTTATGGGTTTGATCGATTTTAATATGTTTTCCATAGGGTAATTTAAGTTTCGAAATAGAAAATCAGAATAAGTCTCAAGTATCAGGTTGAGTGTTAATACCCTCAGGGAAGCCTGAGGTTCCTTTTCCTACGCACGATGTAAATATCTGTAAATAAATAATGAATGAGAATATTATTTAATCTTTTTCAAAAATATGATACGTTAAGTAACATTTTTACATTTACTTGTGATTGTTAAAGATTTGATTTGCTAATGCATTATGTATTCTAAAATATTTATTATCTGTTTGCTATAATTAGCGACGACTTCGTGTTAATTGACCGGAATCAATAATATGGTTTACCAATAACGTTTACATTATTCACCATTTTCGTTAACAATCGTTATCCGATTCGTTTGACTGGATCGGAACACATCAATCTATATTTTAGAGGAACCGAACTCATATTATTAAGCTGGAACAAATACATTTTTGTTTCAAAGCCTTGGTTACAAATATACATTTTAAAAATACTTAAAATATCTTAAAATATTTTAAATATCTGTGCCGATATTTTATATACTTACAACCAATAAAAAACATTTTATTATTTATAAAAACATATTCTATATACTTTGAGCAATGCACTATAATCAAACTTTTAGACCAGTTTCGGAAAGATCATGTAATTATATCTAGTGTATCGAGATGTTAGAACTAGAGCTGAATAAAGATATTGCACACAACATCTTTTTCGGTAAGGGTTTAACAATGTATTATATCGTTTGTGTCTTGTAATTTGTAAATTTCTGATCTCTATCAAAATGTTTTGTATATTTAAAATAAAAAACAAAATTTTGTGATTCCAATTAATAGTCAAATTAACATATGGCATATAGTATCTTTGGTGTCGAAACTTTGCGTGCTTTATTAATTTAGTAAAATTATATGACCCCCCCTACTACATGACACAACACAGAAGAAAAATCCAGTCTCTATCTGTTCACAATTTGCTACACTTCAATAAAAAATATTCGTTTTTGACATTTTCCGGAAATTAAATTTTGAAACGTGAAACTATGATTTATATTCAGAAGCCAAAAAAATTTGTCAATAGCATTTTTTCTCTTAGTATCTGAAATAGGTGGTGTCTTCAGAATATATCGCAGTTTTGTTCAATAGTAAGTCTTTATGGGTAGACTACGTGTAGATATGAAAAAACACGATATTTTGAAATATAAATGTTGTAAAGTGAAAAGTCTGAATATGACAAATAGACGAGTCAAATCAAAAAATAAAAAGAAATATGATTCATTTGTCACCTTTTGAATTAATAAATGATAGCATAGCATAAGTATCTTTGACTAAATAGAAAATATAAAATATAAAATAGTCTTATAAGACTTCAGTATTTAATTCTATTTAAAGTGCAAACGTTTATACTCGTATAAATAAAATTAATAGATTTTATTTTCCGTTCTATTCTATTCCATTTTAAATGCAGTATTTCGTATTAAGAATATTACAATGGATTAAGAGTACTGAGATACTAAAGTATTTCAAAGTAAAAACCGAACTAAACGGAAACCAAAAATCAATCAATAATTAAACTAATTTTAATTGAAACTACTGAATTCAATTCCCAACTTAAATTCCAACCCACAATGAAATCATTAGGTTTAATTCACTTTTAACTTTTAATTACACAAAATCACACGATTGTTTAGTACTTGTAACCGCTGAAGCATATAAAGTGTATTTTTCATTTCAAAAAAGATAAAAATAAAATATAGTATATATCAATTAAAAATAATTTGTCTGAATTATACAACACATTGTTAAATATTTGACTGATTTTTTTTTTTTAGTTTCAGATACTGGCAAACGTAAAAAATTAAAATCACGTAATATAACCGTACCTAGTACGGGTTACTCCAAGGACCATTTGGATGCTTGGCTAGAAACGTGTCTAAAAGACGCTTCAAATACACAATTATCTTCATCGTCCGAGTTCTTAGATTATAATCCCACAACAGCAACCGTGACTAATATAGCAGCTAGCAAAAATCCTTCCATGAGTCAGCAACAGCAACAGCAACAACAACATCAGCAACAACAACAACAACAAAATATTACACAAATGCATACAGGAGCTGCTAATATGAATAATTTCAATATAAATTCAATGCATTCCCAACAACAGTTCGCCATGCGAAACAGTAGCTCACAACCCTCCATGGCGTATCCTTCAGCATTTACTTCACCTTTTAGTCATAGCTTCCAACGTGTAAGTTTCATTAAGAATATATATTTATAATAATTACTAATTTAATTTTTTTTAATTTATTTTCTAGAATGTGCCAAATTTCAATAAACAATCCAATTCCTTTTACAATCGCTATTCAATGATGTTTCCGAATAGCAGTGGTTTTTATCCCATCAATGATGGTGCACAGGACTTCGCCAGCTTACCACCAATTGTAAATATGCTTGGTAATTCATCGGAACATGAAAATAATTCCACAGATGTTTTGGATGGCAGTGGCAGTAATCCAAATATAAGTCGAGGGTAAGTTTATTCATTTATTTTTCAACAATAATAATTTTCCAGGAAATTATTTATATTACTATTTATATTAATCACTAGTAGGCATTTTAATTAATTATTTTTAATTATTTCACTTAAAAAGGTCGTTACTTTTTATACGACATGTAATTATGCTATTATGCTATTTCAAAAACAACAACAAAAAAACTTGTAAAACTGCACTTGCAGAAATAATGCACTTTAGGCACAAAAAAGTGATAGTGAAAGTTTAAATATTTTTTCAACAATTTTATAAAATGTGATAAAATTGGAAAGGTGCAACAAATCTAGTAAATTTTTCTTAAAATATATAAAATAAAACTAAAATTTATTTTTTTGTTTAATTGTCTAAAAATATTTGATCATTTATATAATGTCATAAATAATGGATAGTAGCATATATAATGAAGTTCAAACTCCCCTCAAAATATTTAGAATCATTTTACACTAGATATGAGTTCTCCGATTCTACCTCTGTCTTACCTTAAACATAGACTTTCGCATAAAGGGAATCTATATTTTTACTGACAGTCAAGCAGCTAATAAAGCTTTATCAGCAGTCTGTATTTCTTCCAGATTAGTGTTAGAATGCAGGCATGATATAACGACGCTAACTAAGAGGTGTGAGGTAACTCTAGTTTGAGTTCCGAGCATTTAACATAGTAGGAAATGACCGCTTGCTAGGCTGGGCGCTTATAAAATAGTACGAAATGAACGCGTATATGAGTTTTCTAAGCTGGGCGCTTCTTCTACGGATACCCCTATTTCAATCACTGCAACTGTCAGCTACATTCGAATGTTGATTTATGACCATTTTTTTGCAAACAGACAAATAGTGAGTGGGCTTATATGGCCTCAGCAGTAAGGTCAATGGCTATATGGGCAATATTATTCAAATGTAAAATCTCTGCTTTAATACGTAGAAGCAAATCAGAGTTATCTAGGTTAATAGCTGTCTTTACAGGTCACTAAACGATAGGGCGGTATAGAGATAGACTCGGCGTCAGCATTGGCCTTTATAAATGTTTCTATCTGATTCTAGCTTGACCATTCCTCTACCCATCATTAAGATAATTTGTGGATTCAAGACGGTTTTCTATAACCTAACACTAGATGTGATGAATTTTTTTTTGAATTGAATATTTTCGTATGAATTACTTTTGAAAGGCCTCTCCTTAAATGAGTCTTCGTAGAAGTTCTTGATGGGACTGTTCACGAACCATTTATTTAATTGTAAAATATATCAGAAACAATCACCGTAAATGCCATTGACGGGAGGCTCCGATACGCAGACCTGGCTGTTACCAGAACATGTTATTTTTTTTTTACAATTTAATGGTACTACCTTTACCAGTAAAAAAACTGATAATTATTACATCTGACTCATCTATTATTGGCAAATATTATCAATTAAAAACTAATTATTAATGCATTGGAGATATCTTTTGAATAAATGTTGTTTCAGATTTATTTATATATTAATTTTTCATTTTTCTTCAAAAGTATTATACATTTTCACAGAATATTTTCGTTTATGGTCCATATGGTAGTTACCATATGTTTTAAAAATAATCGATTTGTTGTTGTTATCACACAGAGTATTTGCTTTTTGCATATAATCTATCTCGACCTGAATTGTTTTCGTCTTATTTCAGCAACGAGCCACAGAAGATAAATTCAATTTCTTTAAGCTTTTTGCAAATTGTCTAGCTTTGTAGCTAGCTTTGTGTAAATGGGTTGAAGTAGTTTTGTAGATTATCTTCTGCTCATTAAAAATATTGTGAAATACAGAAAATATCCAAATAGGGTAATATCCAGTAATTTCAAACCGTAACTTTGTGTATTTCAACCAACTGCCAACACATGTGACATAATGAATATCTTTATATAGAATCCACTATGGTTAGTTTATAACCACATGTTGAAGAGTTTCTTATCACGTATAGATCGGCAATTCTTAATGTGTACCTTAACTGCAGATTTACCCACATCACGTCTCTCATCTTTTCTTATGCTTTAATACACACTAATTTGAACTCTACTGATATATGACTTCAATCCATTGAAGTTACAACTTTTCTTATCCTCGACCCAGACTAGTTTCAATCAAGATTCACTCATCCTCTCATCCATTCCTTATTCCAAACAATGTTTCTTTTACTCACTCCACTATATTTTAATCCATGTGTTTGTAATTGTATTTGTTGTTGTTGTTGTAGCTCGTCGGGATATTTGTATATTTGTAGTTGTAATTCATTTTATATTTCTTTCCATATTCATCCCCACGGGTTACAATAACAGCAATAAGAACAAGAAGTCAGAGAAAAGCAGCTAGTAAGAAGATATTTGCATAGGAACGATGAGAATATCTAATTACAGAATAAAGGCTAACTCTTTTTTTTTTATAACATGATTTTTATTAGTATGATAGAAAGCATTCCGGTTTATAGTATCCGTTGTGATAGTATTGGGACATTGACTCATCTTCTTACTACGGCTATAAGTTAATGATAAAACTCAAAATTTCTCTTTACGATAACTTTAAATTAATTAGCTTATATCTTTATATTTATATTAACCTTAAAAAAAATCAGTTTCAATCAATTTATAAAAAGTGTATTTTTTATAGTTTCAGGTTCAGTGATCCCTGCTTGTTGAATCCTTCAGATAATGATTCCAAAGTTAGTGGCCAAAATACGCCAAATCGTCGAAATCACAACACAACCGAAATTGAAAATAATAAATTCTTTGCTGCTTTAATGGAACAAATTAATTTGCTTCACGAAACGAATTCCAAAATCTGTCGAAATCTACATGAGACAAAAGGTGAGGAGCCAAAGCTGATGGAATTAATTTTCAAACCAAACTCAGATAAACTTCAGCAAATATTGAATTCATTATGCATAAAAAATTGTTTATTATTATTAATTTTTTTTTTTAATTTCTCAATAAATATTTGCAATAATTATACTTATGCACGCGTTATCTCTTCGCACTTCAACTTAATGCTTTTAAAGTAGATCATAAATTTCAAATCCTATCTTATTTACTTTTACCATTTATATTTTTTTAAATATTTATGCATTTTTATTCCATGTACTCCATGTGTTCTCTGTATTTCTGTAAATTCCTGTATTTGTAATTGTATTGTAATGTTTGTTTATCTTTTTTGTTTATCTGTTCTTGAAAAAAATTATAGTTGATATTGAAGCTTTAAAGCACGCTCCCAATTGGGGTTTAAGACACCGTAGAGATAGTTTGAGTGGATTAAGCACCCACAGTCAACCAATGATATTTGGCGGTGGATTTGGTACACAAAGTCCAGCGCCAACTTATCACTCAGGTATGTTTAAATTATTTACAATTACTTACAATTGTATATATGTTGTATTTTAATTATTATATACATATGTTTTTTAAATTTATTTGTTATATTTATTATGTTCTATACTTTTAGGCGCTTATACACCCGGCATGATGACTGATGTTGTGCGTGAGGTTAAGGAGGCTGCACGTGTGCGTGAAGATGCGTTATTAAATAGGTGAGTTTAAAGTTAAATTATTAATTTAGAATATAAATTTAATTAGTATTTTATATGGATTTTTGTAGAGTAAAAGCTTTAGTCGAAGAACGTCAGTGGTCATTGAACGAGTCTAATTTACGTGTTATGCGTGACATTGAAGATTTGAAGGTATAGTTTAAAGTTGTGATAATTTATTTTCCTTTTAATGATTTTTTTTAATTAATAATAGTCACAAGTCCAACATTTACGTGCGGAGCGTAAAGAATCTAATAAACGTATAAATCATCTTGAAACTGAAAATAAATATATGCGTCAAATGCTTGGTACAATATTTAATAATCGCAATGCGCCTGATATCATATATGAAAATGAAACTTTACGTATGCGTAAATCATATGCACAAGCGCATAATCGTCGCACACAACCATTACATTTAAATTATGGCACTATACATCATCAGCCAGCATCATCATTATCCGTTGAAGAACAAGATGAACCATTGCATATACATGAAACTCCATCAACCACTTCCACAACCGATATTGCTTCTGTTAACACACAACGTCCACAAGATATGCGCAATTCATTTTCAAGCACTGATAGTGGCGGTGGCGGTGGTGGTGGTGTTGGTAGTGCTGGAACAAGTCTACATAATGGTAGCGTTGGTACCAACAAAGGACAAGCTTTATCGCCACCAAATTTCGCTTTAGTTACAACACCAGTTGAAGATACAAAACGAAAAAAAGATAAATCAAAATCAACCAAATCGAATAATAAAGAGACGTCATCTGCACAAATGCATAGCAATTCCACCACATCAGCGGCTGCAACTCAAGAATTACAAAGAGAATTAAATGTGGCCGTAGCTGCACGCAAAGAAGCCGATGATCGCATTATTGCGTGGGTTTAATATATATTTACATATATATTTTTATTTTGCTAGTTATTTGTATTAAATAATTGCTTGCCAGTTATAATTTTTAATTGATAACATTTTTATTGCTTTTGAAAAATTACCAAATATGTTCTTGTTATAATGCAATGGAAAACAGTCACGTTTATTGTATATAGTTTGCATGCATTTCAATTCAATATTTTAAAATAGTTTATAACACTTATTTTTATAACAGTTATTTTTTATAACACTTTTCCAGTGATGTAAATATTTTTCACAAATTGTTTATAAGAAAGTGTATTTATTTAGTTTAAAAGTTGGTAATTGCAATTTTTATAACTGCACAAATTTTATATATCATAGGCTTATTTAGTTATTTTAATACAACATAATTAAGTTATAAATATTTTATATATTAAATATTTTTTGTTTAATGTGCAAAAGTAGTTATGAGTGTAAGAGACTATATCTAATGTTGAAATTCGGGTATTTAAGCAATATATTATTGTCAATATTTTATTGTTTAAATTATGAGTTAATGATATGATACCGTGGAACGTATGTACTGTAACTACAGCAAACAGAATCCAATTGCAAATCCTACTTATGTCTAATCTAAGATTATATTTTCAAAAATCATTAAAAAATACTTGACGGTTCTGACTAAGTAACACCATGTTTCCACTAGTCTCATTTAAGGCGCTAATGAAAATAATTTACCATACAAATAGCTTTCATATAAATAAGCTCATTGTATATAAATCAACTGATTTAAGGCGAAAAAGATCCTTTTAAAATAAAATAAAAATAAAACTCTTAAAAATAAATTTCCCACAAGAAAAATTACAAAAATTTAAAATATTTATCATATTTTTTATATATATAATGTAAACAAAGAAGATATTTCACATGCATAAATCAGCTTATGTTAATGGAAACGACTAAATCTCAACTTCATTAATTTCATTTCATAAGTAGTTTTAGTCGCAGTGAAAACATGATGTAGTGCTTTAAACACTTCTTTCGCAAAACTTTCTACTATAAAATCTCTGTAGATATCACGTTATCTGGTATCGCTCAATAGTAATAAATCTTTATATCTAATCATTCTAATTGTCATAAATTAGTCCATAAAACTAATCTTAGTTCAAATTATAAAATTTGTATAAATACCCTCTTGGCTCTCTTAGGCGGATACCGACGAAATCGATTGTTGTTGTAACCCTAAGAGACCTGCTAGTATTGTTGAGAATAAAAACTGTCACTTGGTCGTTTGTGTAGAGGACTGGCTCCAGGGTTTAAACTCAACATAAGTAATTTTATTCGTTTAAGAAGATTCTCCGTATTTTGTTTGAAAAACGAAAACTGCGAACAAACAATAATAAAAAGGAATGTTCATTTTCTGAAATAAACGGAATTTTACCACAATGAACTTCTAATTTAACATATTGAACTGTTTTACATTTATTGAAATCTTTCAATAAAATGAGCTAAAATATAGAAGTTGTATAAACCCTGTTGGGGCTTCGATTTATGCAAGTGGCAAAGTTTCTCGATCCAGAACGGTTTGAATTAAATCCCACCACTCATATATTCTTTATTCCACACAACCTCTTTTCTTCTCATTCATTCCTACCTAATCCATATCCTTACTCAAGTATTCCTATGTTGTAATTCCTTTCATAATATTCCCATCTCAGTAATATATCCCATTCCTATAGACTCCTATGTAATTCCTATTTCCTGCAATATAGCTCTTCTTGTGTTACAACAACAACATTAAAAATGCATAACTTAAAGTTCTTTCCGTAATCATATAACAGATACAACTTTAGCACTCATAAAAATATAAATAAATGCAAATATTTTAATATTTATTAGTAACAAAAAGATATATAAGAACAAACGCAAGAACAAAAATTTAGTAAAAAGTATTTTTATAAACAATATATTTAGTTTTTAAATTTAATATAATATAATCCACAACATATTCAACTTAATATTTTCCTGTTGATGTCACAAATATAAACAATATAATATATATTATTTAGCTTACCATACAATCTTATACTAAACTTAATATAAATAATGCTTATATTATATATTTATGCTATAAATTATTAAATTCATTTTAAAATGTAATGGATCTTATGACCTTAGTGGAATGGAATTCTATGTCACAAATATAGACAATAGAATATTGTTAAGTTGCATATAATATTGTTCTAAATTTACTTTAGACAATATCCACACTATAATTAATTATATTGGTTTTCATTATTGATTTAGAAATAATCAACACTTATATATATCATTATATGTTATTTGAATTCCATTCTTTAAATCATAATTTTAACACAACAAGCATATTAAATATTTAGCAATATCACACTATTTTTTTTATGTTCTATTTTATTGCATGTTTATTAATATATTAATATTATAGATTTCGTACTATTTCTATTTTAAATATATGTTTGCACATTTCATTGTTTGATTCTATTCAGAAAACAAACAAAAAAAAACTAACAAAAAGTCCTTATATGTAATTTTTGTCTTAATCTCATTTTAGACTTGAAAAATTGGTTAAAAATATGCGTGTTAATTCCATTCACAACATAGATGGTTCCTCGAATATAGCAAATGGTGATGGTAGCAAAATGGGTGTTGGTCTTAACACTTCAAATGCTGGAGGTACAGTGTCACAGCCAATGAAGTGGCAACATACGTCACCACTTAACACAAACGCATTTACGCAAATTAATAACAAACATTCTTCACAAGCATTCGCCAATCCAACGCAGTCTCCAACTAAAGTGGCTGTTGCGGGACCCATAACCGATTTATAGTGCTAGCACAGAATCTCAAAGCGCAGCTTACGCATAACTCATTTTTAATTAAATACGAACAAAAATTAATTTTATTTAAAAATTTATTTAAAAATTACTCGAAATTTGTTAAGCCATTCTGCAGTACTAAACTAAAATTTATTGTTATTATTAATATTAGTTATACATTGATGTTTGTGTGTATTTTGTTAATATTTATAAACTTTTAACTTTATTAGATATTAATTTCTATTATAATTTTTCCATTTTAATCATGATAATGCTGAATTCACACAAGATTTCAGTTTGTAATTTTAGCTGTCAATTGTTTTTGCTTCCAATACAAAATGAAAATTTTTGACAGTTTAAATTACAAATAAAACTCTTGTGTGAATCCAGTATAATATTAATGATAGTAAATATTTTTTTATTTTTATTTAATTTATAAAGTTATTGTTTTTTTTGTTTTATTTTTTTTACTGTTTAATTAATTCTATATAAATAATTGTAATTTATGTCCTTGTATGTTTTATGTAGCATAGTAAAGAAGAAAATTGTACAGTTCTTTGTGCATATTAACAATTTTGTATAAAAATTGATGTACCTAAAATGCAAACGAAATACTATATTTGTACAACTACTTAAATATTTTATAGAAATACATATAACAAAAAATATATATCCATTATATATAGTAATACAAAGAGAAAATAATTGTATTAACTAAATCGAATAAGTCTCGAATTCGAACAATAGCATTTTTAAAATCTGATATTGTTTATATTACTAGTATTTTATATAAAAGTTATATATACGTTTTTATTATTAAGTGCCATTTTAAATAAATTGCATTCAACATTAACAAACATACAGTAGAAACATGGTTATTTATTGATATGTTTTAGAAGCTATAATAATATTCTAAATTTTGCTATCTAATAGATTCTATTCATCTATCCAAAATATGCATCTCCATATATAGCAAAAATACTCATTACTTACTTACTGCTATCTTTCTCTCCTAGGTGGGGCATAGGGCCTCCTAGGAAAATGAGTGTAAACACTCATTACTAACATTAAAAAACTATCCATAAAAAAGCAGCTTAACTGCTTGTAGACCAAAAACCATTCTATGGCTTGAAAGGAGTTAATTTCTTCTCACCTATTTGGAAAGAAGAGAAACAAGGAAAGATATACTGAGATAATCTCTCAGGCATATCACAGTCCAAATCGCTTATATGGACTTTCAACTAATTAAAAATAATTTGAAAATTATTATGCGAATTCTGACAGGACACTGTAGCTTAAACTATCATTTTATATAATTGCAAACTTACTCTAATGAAACTTGTAAATTCTGTAGGGAAGAAACTGATGGATCTCGTACTGATGCGTAAACGAAATATATCCTAGGCTGGTATTGCATATCCGATAAAAAATAAAACTTTGTAATCTAGGTTACATACTAAAACTTATAAAGGAAGTTGAACTTGAAGAAATACCCTGAATACATGAAAGGGACACAATAGATCCCTAGGTCGCATTTCAATTTAATAATAAAATTAACATTAAAAAATCACATAAACCTTTATTGAAATTTGCATGCTGCGTAATGCCCTGAAAGGATGATAATCTGCTAAATTCGTTTAGTTTACCCAATTCCAATAACATAGATTATTTCTTCGCCTTTAAAGGTGATATTTTTCTCTTAGAAAAGTTAAACTGTTTCCAATATGTTAATTGGATCACATCTTCATATAATCAGTCAGACCATGCTAGCCAATAATCAATGATAAAACTATCTAACAACTTTATGGATGTATAGATTAGGGTTTTGCTTCAGGAGTCTATTTTGTAAGCATTACTTACGCTCTCAATTGCTTAGAGAAAATAAAAAATTAGCTAATAAGTCCATAGGATGACTGGTGCATTTCAAGTAGGAAATTGTGAAACAGCAGTCACATTTGAAGAAAATCTTCCAAACACTATGACTAAATTGCATGAATTACACATTGAATTTAGTCATTATGCATCGATTTCAATATATTTGGTTTTCTCTTGACTCATTCCTCAAGAGGCGTATCGAAATGCTAGAGAAGCGCTGAAGTAGAGTCGAAGTTTGGCAAAAAGTTGTGATTTTATTGGTTATTATACGGACTTAACTGCCGATATATTATTATTGGTTGTAGTGCATATAAGACTTTTAAAGCCAGAAAATATAACGCCGTTTGATATTATTGTAGAATTTATTTCACATTTTTAATCAGATCTAGTAGGATATCTGATTTGAACAACAACTCCTACAAGTTATAGTAAGCCTACTAGAAGCCTTTTAATGGCACAATATATGTTTAATGAATTCGTGCTTCCCCTCACACTGACTGCTTGGTATTGGGTGGGTAGTTTGAAATATGTATAAATATAATATATGGAATATAAGAACCCTTAATTGATCTATGGTACAGAATGATCTGCGTTAGAAAATACTAGTTAATCGCATTCAATAACAATATTGCTACTTGTTATTCCTTTAAATACAGATCTGTAGGAAACAAGAAAGAATATGAATTAACAATAGCACATAAACTGAATAAATATATTAAGTTGTTAAATCAATTCCTCTAACAATCTTTTATGTTAGTAATACCACATAGAATATAAATCGTGGTCCTTTTATAATAGAATATGATAGTTAAATTGAAGTTTTTTTTATTTAGTGAATTTTGAATTATAATTTAAATAATGAAACTTACAATGCCTAACTATAATTAAAATTATGTGAAAAAATCTAAACTTTAAACTACAAAACAAAGTCTGTCATTAGAGTTAACAACAAAATAAAACAAATTTCAGCAAGTAGCTTTTGCTGGTGGTTTTTGTATGGGAAGGAAAAGCTTAAATTCAGGTGGCAATTCATCTTCCGAATAAAGCCGGTCCGAAAAGTAGATACGACGTATACGACAATTAGCATGTATCTGCACACGAAGTGTCTCAACATAATTGGTGCCATATGCTCTTCGCGTGAAGTCAGATAAATTAAATTGTATTTGATTCCAACCATCGTCCAAACGCATCGGCATTGTGCAAATGAAAGGCTTAACACGTGTTGTTGACTGATAATTACTGGCACGAAAACGTCGGCGTACGTTTTTGTCATCGAGCACCTTAATAAAAAATTGTTCATCATATAAATAACAATGAATATAAAGAATGCCGTGAATATCATACCTGAACTTCAAATGTGAAATATTTTTTTAAATTCTTAATAATCATCACAAGAAAAGGCAGTTTAATACCAAGTGTTTTCTTAGGATCTGGCGGACAAGTTATAAATGTTGTACTAACATTTGTGCCAACTATTTCCAGTACTAAACTTTGTATGTCGTTGTCTGTGATGCGTTTTATGTGACCATTCCGAACCTTCTTATCCCAAATTTGCAGCGGTTTACTACCAATGCTGTACAGGATTGATAGGAAACCCGACTGGAATGTGTTTTTAAACATTTTGTTCTTTGTTTAAATTAAATCAACACAACACATTAAATATATTTGTTTTAAATTTTTAACAATCTTCAGCGAAACTATCAACAGCCGTTATTTTAAGGTTATGGTATTGTTTATGTCGATATTAGTTGCTGTTTAACAGTGTTGTCATGAGCGATTAAAATAAAAACAAAAAAGTAGTTCAGACGTTTATACAGAAAAATGTTGCTATGGTTATTGTTTTTATTTAAAAAAACAAAACATTTGACTTATTTTAATGAAAAATTATTTTAAAAATTTATTCTTTCACACTTCTATAGAAAAATATACATTTTCTTCATTATTTAACATGCTAAACTTCTGCCAAAGATATGTTAAATTGTTAATGTGTCGAATAAAAATATTGTAGGTGCACATTTCATGAATTGAGGAGAATTTTCAGAAACTTAATGTAAACATAGTATTAGAATCACCGCCAAAAATTACATACACGTATGAATAAATCAGCACAAGTTGGTTTGTTATTTGAATTTAACAATTCAATGCTAAAACAAACATTGATGGCAAATATTGACATTTCACACAAATTATTTTATTGTTATTATTTGTCACAGATTAACATTTTAGCAATATGGTATGCAAAATTGAAGTTGTGAAGAAGCATATTGAAGAGCATATTATTTTTATTGTTATTGCACTTCGACAATAAAAGCAACATATCAGTAAATAATGATTAACAATAACAATGCAGTCAACTAACAACTGAACTGCTGATTCAATATGGAATATATAGGCCGTGTGCGAGTTCGAGTAAATTGATGGTAAATTAAGGGAAATAGTAAATTATTTCGATATGACAGCAAATGTTGGTATTTACCAGATTTTCGAGTAGGGTAAATTAGATAAAAACAGGGTAAATCACAAAGTGATTTATTTTCTTACACTCAAATTATAATATTAGATAATTAAAAAAAACCAAATTTATAAAATAAATAATTGTTTTAATATTTGTCATAAAAGTTCTAATATGATTCCTAACGGAATTCAGATTACGATTATTTAGATTTATTTTTGTGAAATGCTTCTTTTCAATGTTTTCAGTCAATATTTAGTATGCATTTTTATTTTTTATGATTACTGCATTTATTTATGCAATAACTTTTCGGCGAATATTTTTCAGTTAAGTTTGTAGTGTGAACATGATATAATCGTGTAAAGAAATATGTAGAAGTATTATATATAGTATTAAAACAGCACATACAATTAATTTTATGTCGTATATTGACAATATTTCTGCAATCAAAAAGAATAATGTAACTGTCGAATATTTCGAATTTTGTTTCTACAAATCATTTTCCGTCATCAACTAAAAGACAAATAAATGATATGATTTCTTAGCCTAGTGTGGGGTAGAGATAAGCTCCCCAGCCAATATAGAGTAAAAGTGCGTAATAGCACTAACTCAAGAAATATAATCAAGAATCAAATCAATTTCAGACAGATTAACAACTTGTGCTGCATTTTAAATTAAATAAAAAACAAAATATTTGTTTTTAATTTTGCTATTTTGTTAAACTACTAAATTGCAACTTTAATAAAAAGTACCATATCGTAGTGCTACACGGCAACCCTTGCATGTTAATTTGTCAAATACGCCGCGGAGTACTGAATGGTTTGACAAGGTTTCATATTCCTCTGATTAACGTTAAAATATTTGTTGTTAACTGCGGCGATGAATATAGATATAAACAAATTCAGAGCGAAACATGCTGCAGGTGTGTAAGGAATTACAATTTTAATTTATTATTTATACGTATAAAATTCCTTATATTTTAGAATCAAAGGAAGCAGCCCCGCTACTAGCAGCTGAGAAGGTTAAATAATATTTAATTAGCAATAAATAAATAAATGTATATTTTATTTCTTTTTCACGTTAGGATGAAAAAATGATGCAAACCTTATGTAGGAACTCTCAAATAGGATTCAAGGAACTACCAATATTTATTGTTGTTGAGACTCGTTGTATAACTATGGAACAAGCAGTTCAAGCAGGCATTATAGTAACGTCCACACAGATACTCGGTGTAGAACAAACTAATGAAGACAGTAATGTGCCTATGGATGCAAGTGTCGTTAATGTGCCCTTAGTAGTGGCAGTACGTTCTGATACTGTCGATGCAGGGGTAAATGCAATTCCTCTAATGAATGACGCTGCAGTTCTAACTGATGGTCCCAATCCCACGCGGAATCGTAACATACAAGTTTGTCTTGATAATAAATCATTTAAAACAGTTGCAATACAATGCGACATTGATTTCGAAGAAGAATTTGATGCAATGAATAGCGCTCCGTCAGAAACAGAAAATGCGCAATCAAAAGAGTTGGAATTTGTCACATTTGCCAAAGAGAAAACAATATGTCATAAAAATGGTAAACATGAGTGCTTAGTTTGTGGTGAAGTAAAAATTAATTTCAATCTAATGTGCAAACATATGAGTTTGCATTATGGACCAAAGATGCTGTGTGCTACTTGTGGCCATCAATTTGAACATGTTTATTTATACGATAAGCATCCATGTCTCAACGAAAACGCAGAGAAGAAATCTGTTGCTAAAAAACTTAAACACAGATTTAAATGCCCACACTTTCGTTGCGGCGTCACAACAATATCGCTATTGGAACTTTATGATCATATCAATGAACATACAGGAAAACGTTCTTACATTTGTGACGGCTGCAACCGTCGTTATCACACAATGGGTGAATTGCGACGACATTTATCAATGCGTTTGAAATGTTTAGAGAACGGTAAAGTTCGTGACGTACATGGTATATCGAATTTGGTGCGTGAGAAAAATTATCGCATACGTGTGTTTCCAGTCTACTCTGCCAGAAATAAACGTGTACTCATCAAAGTCTTTCTTTCCCGACTACCGCAATCAAACTTTTGCCAACTCTGTTTGAAGCATTGCACCAACTCCTATATGTATTCGAAACATTTACAAAGATGCAAAAAAGCTTATAAGTATCGCTTACAGAGAAAACTCAATGCAACGTCCGCAGGCACAAATAAAAGGACAACGAAGTCAAAGTAATTATACCGAAATGTCTAGAACATTAGTGATTTATCCTTATAATTTTAAGAACAATAAAAAACGAAATTTAATAACATTAATTTATATTTCGCTTAACAATTTAAAATACACTTCAATTCACTTCACTGCACACCATGTGCTTTACTTAGGCCTTCAAACAATTGCTTTTTCTCCTCGTTGCACTCTTTGAGCGTTTGTAGCGCCAATTCCAGTTGGACCTTTTTCTGTGCATGTTCTCGTATATATTGGTCAATGAATTTAATACAAATTTCATCCACCTGGAAATCTTCAGATCTCTTACCAATCGCTGTAGTTATTTCTTCTTGTATATTACTCTGATCTGTCTTTAAAGCCTTTCGTAATTCCTCTAAAGCTGGATCACGTTTCGGTCTGCAGTTCTCGATTCGTTTTAATGTTTCTCTATAATCAATGGATATGTCATGCATTTTATACAATAGCGCGATGAGTTCCACGCCATTATATAAATAATCGCGTTGTATCATATCATAGAGCAAATCATCAATGGATTTATGCCACGCTAGGAAAAAGGCCATAGGGCCAAAATGCCTTGTCGAACGCAGTGCATCGAAATCTTTATTCTCATTAATATGTTGATAGACTGTGCTACTGATGCGATGGAATTCCTTCTCATATGGTTCATATTGCATAAGCAGCCGATCAAGCACAAACTCATATTTGTGTTCGTCTAAACACCTTTTGAGGTGCACATCTTCAAACATTTTTGGCGTTTGCAAGCTGCGTCCAGTCATTGGCGCGTAAATTTGATTTATACGTTTGACCACATCCATTGGGGCATACTCTAATGTACCATCTATTTGACGTATGACCACTTTACGTTCAGATTGTCGTAAACCATATGTTACATCGCTTATAACGAATTTTGAATCTGAAAAATCTTTTAATGCTGGATCTTTGGAAATGATTCTCTGTTCATCTTCTTTGATTTTAACCAATGGAGGCATTTCAAGTAGTCTTTCTGCTTTTTTAAATGATGCTCTAAATGCTTGTTCGAGTTCTTCTGTAGTCATAAACTTTGTTGTTGGTGTGTTGTCGGCTACCGTTCTTTGGCGAAATACTTTAGAAAATTGTAATTGTGTCATTGATTTGAGAAGTTTTTGCGTTTCGGCATCTGTGAAAAGCGGCTCTGGATCTTTTTCATATTCCAATGTGATTCCTTTAATTGTGCACATTAATTTCATTTGATTTTTGCTGGGATGCACAAATTGCACACATCGTAACCCGCACAATTTACGTAAATTTACTAAAACCAACATTTTTATAGAAAACTTATATTTTTACTACACCAAAGAGTTTTATAACAATCACCGCATGATAATAATACGACAGATTTGACATTTCCATTTCGATAATTTATTTGACAGCCATATGATCTTAAGAATGACATTTATGTTAGAAAATTAAAAATCGATATACGATAACAATGGAAAACCATAGCATGTACATGAGGATTTCCAGGCTCAGATATAAGATGGTCCAATATATATATAATATATGCACTGGAATATCAAAAATTGCTTTGAAAACAAAATAGAGAGACATAATTCAGACATAGAAAAAGATATAAATGAATGCGTTTGCAAATTTCAAAAAAGAAATATAATGGTTAAAATGGAGAAAGAACGATACTGGAATGTCTGAAAATTTAGAATTTAATAATTTGTATAAAGAAGTATAAAAACTTAACCCCTAGTTATTAAATAAAATAAATATTTGCTTTCTTTATCAGGTTTTAGATCGTTGGTTTTTGTTTAATATTACTTTAAATCTGGGGGAAAAAACAAATATTTATAAACAATTAGGGTATAAATATAAAAATATAAAATAAAATTTTAAAAAAGTATTATTTATTTCTCTTTCACTCATAATATAAGTCACATTTCACAACGTCTCAATTTTTAGGCGGTTTTGTTCATGTGCCTTTATATAAATGAACTCATTATCAATAAATCAGCTCATTTAAGGCGAAAAATTATGAATGCAATCCTTAAAAATAAATTTCACACAAGGAAAATTACCAAAATTTGAAATATGTGTCATATGTTTCTTATACGAAATGTAAATAAACAACAGCTGAATTGTGAACAAAGGCACTGAGGAAGTAAGTATTTAATAAAATCTTTGTTTTTATTAATAGAATTTGTAGTTGATATATAATATGTATATAAATGATTTAATATATCAATTATATATTCAATTTCTTGGTTTGAAGTCATATTAATGAGTGAAGTTTATACAAATTTATAAAGTTCTGTCAGTTGCATAAATGACTTTTTATAATGTGAACGTTCACTAATTAATATAAATGAGCGAGTGCCTAAATGAGAGAGTGTAAATGTACTGTAACCTTCAAATGCATGAAAATACACATATTTTTTTCCTTTTTATTTATAACTTTTAATTACAATTTGTTTTTTCAAACTTATTTTTTGAATATAACATATATAATTGTTTTTTTTTATACATTTTATAATTGTTCTATTAATATTATGTTATTATGAATAATTAAACAAACATATCTCAGATGAGGCAAAAAAACTGTGAAAAGTTTAAATAAACAAATAATGTACAATAAATTTATGTTGTATTGCATTTACCACTGTTTACATACCCAATAAGGACATAAAATAATATACTATAAATAATATAAATATAAATACTATAGTAATATAAAAAATAATATACTGCACTAATAGCCTTTTCTAAATTAAATCTATAACATAAAAAATTTTTTTTGCTAATTAATTAATGCATTAACTCTGCGCTTACACTTGCTTTGAATTAATTTGACATTAAATACAAAGCTTAGGAAGCACACTAATTGGGGGATGGTAACTTAGGTGCAAGAGCTTTGATCTGTCAAAAAATTATCTCCGAGCTTCTTTTCTGCTTATGCTTGCATAAGAAAGGTTAGTCATTCTGACTTTGTCAGCGCAGCAAGGAGTGTGGGACTTAGTAATTCTTAATTAGTGAAACAAATAATTAAAAGTGTAAAATTATTATAAGTGAAAAAGTTAAAGTGCAAGAATCCAAAGTAAACATTGAAGAATCAAGGTAAGGGTTTTTATTTGAAAAAAGTCAAATATAATATAATTCAATCCAAACAAATAATATGTATAATGTTTCAATCTATTGAATATAGACCGCAAAGTCAAGGTAAGTATGATTTTTTGCAGTATTGCTATTCCGACACTACTTTATTTTATACATCAATTTTTTTTTTGTTTAAAATTTAACTTTTGTAAGATACTCTCTCTAAAGATACTCTCTCCTCAAACAATGAGGATCAAAGAGATCCTGGAATGCAAAATAATGAGTAAGAAAATTATATTAAATAATATTATACTGAGTTTAAGAGATAAGTGCCACACCCAGTGCAAAATATTATGCATTACTAAAATCAAGTCTAAACTGAAGTCATTAAAACTTGGTGCATAAGTAAAAAAACAGTTTTGTCTGAGGACATTTCAACTACATACAATATTCTTAACAATCTAACATATTGGTAACGACAACTTAAATTCCATAAATAAAATAAAATAATAATATAATAGCATTTTTTTAACGAGCACAAAAAAATTTAATTAAAAGGATAAACCATTTTAAATAAAAAGCGTTCTTATAAAAACCGTTTTAATATAGTGTAATATAGTATATATAGAAATATAAAAGTAATTTTATTTACAAATTTCTTTTGTTAGTTCTGTTAATTAAAAAAAGAATGAAAAAATATCAAAAGAACATGATGGTAAGTTTAATTCAAAGAAAAATGGAATTTTTAAAAAAATTAAATAGAAGAGAGTGATATATAGATATTAAGAGAGACATAACTAATTTTGTTGGTTATGTGCATGAGTTTGTGTGTTGTAAGCATAAGTTTTATTATTTAGACAAATTATATTAGATATAAACTATAAAATTATCATTATGTTAATAATGCAGAAATTTAAAAAAATACATTTTTTATATACATTGTCTGCTTCCAATTGCTCTCTTTCAATGCTAACATATTTTTGGGTGTGTGTATGTGTATGTGCCTTTGTTTAAAGACAGTAGTTTTAGTGAGAGAGTTATGTTAAAAACATATGTTTTCTTGTTTTATCTCGCTCAAACGTTCAACAGACAATGGAATGAAAAATGGTATAAGAAAAGGATGAACGTATACAGTTATTGGGTGCGGTCAATTCTCTTTTATATTATGATTATCAAGGCTTCGAATTAGTACTGAACCCAAAACTGAAATAAGCCGATTGATTTGTAAGAGTGAAAATTGGAACCGAACCGAATAATATGTGCAATACAACTCAATACCTGTTTATACATGCGGATTCCTATTTAGTTGTTGTAATTTTTTTTACATGTGTATATGTATTTTGACTTAAAATTATGCAAATTATTAGCAAATAATAATTACGTCTTTTTCGCACAAAATATGTAATTTCGCGAAATTTAATTAAGTTTTCTGTTTCTTGCTTATATGCATAAATTATTGAATTAAAATAATAATATAATTTCTTGTGGTAGAAATTTCGTTTTTATTAAAAAAACGACTATATTATATATCTAATTAAGATAAAAAATAATTAATATTTGATCTCAACTCATAAAAAATACTACTTTGAAGCTGAACCGAAAATAACTGTTGTACTATACGAACGAAGACCGAAACTGAACCGATTCGGTATGAAAAATTATCTATTCAGAGCAGTTTTTATGTATGTATTTAAAATTTCACAAAATATGTATGTATAATTTATTAAAATAATAATTCTTTTTAAATATATTAATTAATTATAATTTTTTAATAATTATTACAATATAATATAATTTTTTATATATATTAATATGTCTATTGTAAGCTCGTGAACTTATTTTTTGTTTTTGTTGTTTAATATTCGTAATCTTTAGTCATCATTTCTTCAAAATACAACCCTGGTCAAGTGCAATTCAGTTACTCACTGAACACATTACATTGCACATCATTGTTTAAGGAATGCAAAAAAGTTTCTATTGTGACAAGAGTGAAAAATACTTGAAAATATTAATGCAAATTAAGAATATTGAGTAAAATGGAGCCTGAACCTGAACCTAAACTTGACAATGATCAAGCTGACAATACTGAAAATCTACAAAAAAGAAAGCGTCGCCGCTCAGATTTTGATGAAGGAACCTCGGAAGAGAATTGCCACTCCTTAACGGCATCAGCCGCTGAAGGTGTGCAAAATGTTACAAATGGTAGTTCTGTAGCTAAATATCGTGAAGTTGACGAAAATTTGGGTTTTACACTTTTGCAATTTAGTGACGAAATGTTATACGAAATCTTTAAATATTTGGATTCATGGACTTTATTGGCTCTATTAAGGTGAGTTCAATTGTTAAACCGTTGATGGATTCACAAGATTTATTTACAATTTGTGTATATTATTACTCTTTTGTTTAGTACGAGTAATCGTTTTGGACGTTTAGTTAGAGATAGTCGTTTTTGGAAAGAAATTGATCTATCCAGAGAACCGTTACCACTTGGTATATTAGAGGATGTTATGGAACGAACGCATATTAATGCAACTACTCTCAAGCTTCGTGGGCCACCTCCAAGTCAGCATATTGAGGGTGAAATAAAACATTTGACAAAAACGTTATATCAAACGTTGACTATACGTTGCACAAAACTAACAGTGTTAGAATTACAAGGCGTTACGATAGATTTTAACCTCGTATGTACTTTCATATGAATAACTAAGCTTATATAGACATCTAACTAATATAAATTTATTTCAAGATACGCATATTAGACTTTCCAAAAACTTTAAAGCGTTTATATCTAAGAGACTGTAATGTGCGCGTACCAAGTAATGGCAAGAGCATGTTTGCTGGAATTGACACCCATTTACTGGACTTAGAGGTAAGCAAAAGAGTAGTAATTATAACAAGCAGTGTTGTATATGGATTGCGATATATTTTTTTTGGAATACTTTATACAAAATTAAAGCATCATTAATTTTGCCAGTTTTTTTCTTAAAAGTCTTAAAAATTTAAATTTTATTTTATTTTAATTTTTATTGTTATTGTTAGATTATTAAAATGATTAATAAATAATTAATGCAACATATACTGCCCCTGTAACGTACATTTAGTCTAAATATAAAATACACTTTAATTCTTACAGGAGCTTGGCGTGGAATACAGTCCTTGGTTTGATCCATACTACATAATGATTTTTTCCAAACTTCCTGCATTGCGCTCATTGAGCTTAAAATGTTGTCAGCAAATGTCTGAATTTGTGCCTTACGGCAGCATGGGTGCGCGTTTTGGTTTTAAAAAACTCGAAGTACGTATTTTCGTTATTTATATAGATGTATATATATATATATATGTATATGAAAGCTCACTTCTAGTTGTTGCTAATGATGATGACATATATATGTATATTTATAATTGTTTGTTTTTATTACAAATAAGAAAAATATTTTCTTTCTTAGTTTTTGGATTTGAGTTTATCGCCGATTAATGACTCTGATTTGCAATGTTTTAATGCTGTTACCACATTAAAGGAAATAGTACTTGATTGTCCAGAAAATTTGCGTAATATTGCAAAACCTTGTGAACGCCGAAAAGCGAAAAAAGCTAATGGAGATTCAGGGTCCACAACAACAACTTCATCAGATACAACAGATGAGGATTTAGATGACGAGCTTCTTACTCCAAGACCTTCTACTAGCAAATCCGGTAGAGGTAGTTCAATATTAAAATACTTTGAAAAAAATGCTGATGAAAGTTCTTCGTCACCTTCAACGTTGCCTTCTACTTCGAGTTCAACAATACCTAAACCACCAATGAGTCCGTCATCTCAAACTCGTATTAAATCACCAACATCCAAACAATTTTCATCAGTTATTGCTAGCTCATCCAAATCGAATACTGCAAGTACAAATACATCATCAGTGGAGTCACAAACCGAATCAAATGAAACCGAACCCCCAATTCCTCCTCCGTTTATAAGCTTGGGCTTAAGAAGAGTATTACCATGTACTGTCACAACAACGGTTACATCAGGTCGTGTGACTTCTACTGATGTTCAATGTTCGTCACCAGAATTCGAAGAGATGACAAATATGACGGTAAGACCGCTAAAACGTCCTGTTTCCGAAGATTCTTCAACACCATCAACGGATACCACGACTACAGATGCAATATCACCTGAACCATCAACTTCGTCACAAGCAGCATCATCGTCGCAAGCGGCATCAACGTCCGAAGCAGCATCAACATCACAAGCAGCATCAACGTCACAAGGAGCATCATCGTCTCCATCAGGCGATGCACGACCACATATGGGTCGTACAGTTGCATCACTTACAAGATATTATCGTTCACAATTATCAAGAACTCAATTTTCTAGACCTCCTGCCTTCGCAATGAATCCGTCAAGAATAATGTCATCACATTCATTACATTCAGTCTTACGTCCGGCAATGAACCGTTTTTCAATAGAGAGGCCAGATGAAGTCATTTATATTGAGTTTCCGAATCGTCAACCCATTTTTTCACGATCGACAAGCAATAATAACAATAATAATCAAAACAATGCTGGCAACGGTAATAATGGTAATGGTAATGGTAACGGCAATGGTAACGGTAACGGTAACGGTAACGGAAACGGTAACGGTAACGGCAACGGTAACAATGTCAACGGTAATAATGCCAATGTTAATAATGCCAACGGTAATAATGCCAACAATGGTAACGATTTCGATCAAGTATTGAATCATCCATTATTTTGGAATATCTTACTTCCATTGCCTAGACGGGATAATCGTGTGGGTAATCGGGAATTTGAAATAGGTGTTAATCAAGAACGTGATGCTGCTGTTGGAAGCGGACGAACACGTTCTTCATATCTTTATCGTATGCAAAATCAATATCGTTCCCAAATATCAGATCGTGCGATGACTTGTTTTGGGCGTGCGCGTAACCCCGTGGAGCAAGGTATTATATGGATAGGTGGTGCCAATCGACCACGTGATACTCGATTTGAACGTTTAGTCATACGCAATTATTCACTTGTAACTGATATTACATTAGAGCATTTAGTGCAGTGTTCACCATTTTTGATACACATCGATGTGAGTGGTACAAGTGTTACCATTGCAGGCGTGCGCCGTTTCAAACAATTGAAACCAGATTGTGAAGTAGTTGCAACTCATTTGCCTGAATCATCTGAAGACAATGACACTGACAAGAATGCTACTTAAGGATTCGCAAATCACATGTTCCTGTTGCATTTACAAAAACTTAAGTGCTTTTGTCGTTAAAATAGAAGTAATTACAATATGTTTAATTAAATTTTCGAGTTGTGTACTTTTTATATTGATAATATGTTTAAGGCTGTTACAATAAGAAAATGAAATTGTATGTCTACAAGCAGACTTCAAGTATAGAAATAGAATAGTCTGGAAAGACTTCTCTCATTGTTTTTAACTCATATGTATTTTTTAAGTTAAGTTACACTTGCAAAATGAAATATTAAGTTGATTAATCATTTTTAAAATAAAAAAAAATTAGTACATAACATTACTTAAAAATTGCATATTTAATCAAATTTTAGGTAATATTTTTTAAATAAAGCATGTATAGAAAGGTTTCGAACAGTATTGAATTGCAACAACAAAATTTTTTATTTATTCGAACATACAAGTACAGCACGGCTTTGTGTCAGTTGGTGAATGAACACTAACTCTGAGCTTCAACTTTGGCGGGGTACGAGTTGAACTCTTGGTATTTGCAGTCTCAAAAAATTATTTACGAATAATAAAATATACGAAACAACTCCAAGACTCAATACAAGATGATGGGTATTTGGAAGTATTCAAAACAGATGTATGGTCAGTCGTAAATCCAATTAATTAAAAATTAATCGGAGTTTGCTTTTTGCTTTTGAGTAAGGTTTATAGGAAAAGATCGAACAATTCCGAAAGTATTTACTAGAATTTTTTTGAAATAATTCCGTACAACAATATTATACTAAGTGCACTCAGACTATTATGGTTAATTATATTATCTGGTAAAGTTTTTATTCTATTTAGGACAGAAAATGAACTACCAATCAACGCAACCAAAAACTGTTGCGTTTGGGGGAATAGCTTAAATCGTACCGAGATACTTCTGAAGAGGCTTCGGTCATTGATATTCTTCAACTGTAGATAATAACATTTTATCATAGACGATTGTTATTTATGTATACACAGCAAATTGTATAATTCACAGGTTTTCTCGATTAGGGACTTAAACTTCTTTGTCTACGTGTCGGTTTAGGGGCACCACTTTGCCCATTGATTCAACAAATCTAAAACTGTGTAGATACATGGGGCTAGTTCTAGCTAGGAATCGTTTTTTTGAGATTAACAAAAATCTGCAGAAAAGAATATAATAATAATAATAATAGTAAGTAATAATAATAATAGTTAGTAAGAATAATTATAATTAGTAATAATAATAATAGTTAGTAAAAATAATAATAGTAATAATAAGTACCAAAAACCATTTTTTACCGAAGAAATAAAACAAGTGCAATCGACACCTTATTACTAACTCTTTTTTCTGAATTTTTTTGATATGCTAAAGTAGTATTTAGTGGACCCATTTATTGATATGCATTTGTCCAACAGATGGCGCTAAAATCGATTAAAGGAAGTTTAAGACTTTTCATGGAAAGCAGGTGAATTAGCTTCGATAACCACATATTGATTTTTATTTTTCCAACAGTTAGCTCTGTGTAGGGAATCTATTCGCTGAAATTTAGGGTTTTGTGTGTGCGGAAATATATTTTTGAAAAATGAGCACATCAATACCACTGCATCATATTATCTCGTGCTGTTTTATAATGGCACCAAGATAATACCTTAACAGGTGTAATGTTGTCTGCAATCCATCAAAACCTTGCACCGAAGCATGGGGCGATCTTAAAGGTACACTCGATTTACCGATACACATTAAATGCATCAAAACCTGGAACTCACCCAACAGTTAATAACCAGTAACATTAGCCACTGGAAAAGTACCTAAAATTTTTAAGAAATCAATGGACACCACAAATCTGACGAATAGTTGTTAATCACCAATAATATCAACTATAGGAATAGTAATTAAAATCCTTAATAATCAGTGGACACACTGGAACTCTCCGAATAATCAATCATCTCCAACAATATTAGCCACTGGTATAGTACTTAGAATCTTTAAATAATCAATATTAATAAATAAATGTAAGCACCAACAATATCAACACTTGGAATAGTATTTAAAATTCTATAATAACCAATAGATATTCTGGAATTCTCCGAATAATTAATAAATCCCATTAATATCAATCGTTAGAATAGTGTTTAAAATTCTTAAATAACCAATAGACACTAGAATTCTCTGAATAAATAATAAACCCCAATAATATCAGTCAAGGAAATAGTACTTAAAATCTTTAATTAATAATGAACATACTGGAATTCTGCGAACAATTAATTATTCCCTATAATATCAGCCACTGGAATAGTATTTAAAATTAGTAATAATCAATGAACACACTGGAACTCTGCGAACAATTAATAATACCCAACAATATCAATTACTGGAATAGTACTTAAAATCCTTAAAAAAACAATGAACATATTGGAATTTTCCGAATAACTAATAGTCTCCAACAATATCAGTCACTGGAATAGTACCCAAAATCCGTATAGCCAATGAAGAATGCAGAAATACGATTCACTGTGTATATGTGTACAATATTAAGGGAAACCATCAACGATCTTTAGTAGGACCGATAGTAATATAGGTGTGAACATGGACTATACCTTAACGGGAGTAGATATTCCCTAATGACTGTTAAACGGAATTATGTGAATCCCAGTACTGAGACCTATTGAGATGTAATATTTATTGTGATTATAACAATACTCGTAAAGTATGAATAAAATATGACCATACAGTGAGTCCTTTTTCTGTCAAGTTAAAAATGCAATAAGTCATTTTAATCCGCAAAGGGAATCTATTAAGTCCAATAATTCATCACAGATTAATTCGGGGACAAACAAATTAATATCAATTCAATGTTGAATCTTCGATTTTCGCTTTTGAGATTTAAGCAAGCAAACGTTCATGTATTTTTAATTTGTTTAATTCAAAAATATTTGCCTGCCGTCCATGTCCTGTGTGTGCGGCGCTTGTTTATGTCCTTCGCAGTGAATTACGTATTCGAATTGGCGCGGGGCTGTTGTGCGGGGACGCTGATTTTTGAACCTGCCGCTGCTTAAGATGCAAGTGACGTTTCGCTATAATTTTCCAGTTTTTCGAGCAACTCAACCAAGTGTTACGATTTTTTGTCTCTGTTGTTTTTTGCGATGCTAAACGGTTGTTGACCGTTATTAAAACCGTAATTTTGCATATAATTTTGTTGTACAAAAACATAAAACAGAAAAAAAAACTAAAAACAAAAAACAAAAATGGTGGAAAAATCGTAATAAAATGCCTTCGCTCATTGGGTGTCGGTAGTAAAAAATTAAATTCCAAACACGCGTTGATAATATTTTTTCAAGCGATTTTTAACGCGTCTTCAGTTTTCTTTATGTGCGTTTTCCTTTAGTTCTGCGTTTTTTTTTTTTTAATTTTTATTTTCATTCTAAAGTGGTTCGGGAAAGCGCGTTGGTTTGTGAAAAAGAGCATTTTAACATAATTAAACGCTGAAAGCGCAGTCTTCGGAGTGGAGTGGAGTAGTGGAGCTGGCAAACTAATTACGAGGTTGAGTGTAATTAATCCCAAGTGTACAATACAAATGGAAGGGACATAGTGAACTCTCCTGAATCACACTTCCACCTCCAAAGCCAGTTTTTTCGGTAATTATTATTGTAAAATAAATGGAAAAATAAAAAATAAAAAGAAATGTGTTTTCTTTGCACTAATTGACAAACGTTTATTGTTTACTAATTGCGAAATGCTCATTACGATTTGATGTTCAACAGATACTTTTGGGTCAGAGTACAAATCAAAAATTTAATGATGCAAAGTTTCTTTCTTCTTCTTCTCTCTCAAAAAAGCCTTTAAACTGAACTTATCAGTAATTTTCTGATTTCTCGGTATCTCAATATCAGTAAAATATTATACAATATTTTCCAATGCATTTAAAAAATAACGCCAACATGCAATAAAACGCCGGAATGTCACAAAAGTCAACAATAAGTCACGGAAAGCCACACTTGGAGACGAGGTCTTGACAAAAACTAAAATTAAATTATGATTGGGAATATGAAAAAGTATGGAAGAGCGAAAAAGTGTAAGCAAATTTACCCAAGCGGAAATGAAAGTTTTTTACGTTTCCTGTGTGTATTAATGAAATCATGTGTATGTGTGTGTGAGTGTGTGTGTGTCTCAGTATGGGCGCGTCTATGTAACTCACATGTTTTATGTGTGGCAACACATATTTGAAAATTTGTTGTTACTTGTTACAGTGGTCCAATAATCGAATTGTAGGAATTTTAGGAATTTTATATAGATTGAATCTATATAGATTCACTATTCTATGCAGTTAGGACCTCGAATACTATCCTGGTTTTCTCTGAAATCCTTAAAAACACAGAAAAAATAGATCAATAGTACACGAAATCTTCCGATGATAGAACACTTTGGTATTCTATGGATTGCTACAGAATGCAAAAGCAGATAAAGAATACAGGAAAGTTACCAATGATACAACACATCGGTACTGTAAGAATACCGAAGTAGATAAAGAAAACAGGAAAGCCATTAACGATACGACACATAAGTACTATAAGAATATAGAAACAGATAAAGAATACAGAAAGCCACCAACGATACAACACATCGGTACTATAAGAGTACAGAAACAGATAAAGAAAACAGAAAGCTATTAACGATACGACACATAGGTACTATAAGAATACCGAAGCAGATAAAGAAATCGGGAAAGCCACCAACGATACAACCTGGTGTGTTCTATTGTATGAATTGTTAAAGGATGTAGACAAAATAGATCAATAATACAGAAAAGCTTTTTTTTGCGGTAAGTGGATAGCTTTAGTATTGGACTTCAAGTCACTAAAACCACCTCTTAGGAATGAAATGAAGATTCATTTCATAAATTGAGAAACAGAGTCTTAGTACTTAGAATTCTAGGTTTATTTAAGCTAAAAAGTATGGGCGCGGTACAGGAGGCAGTAAGAGAAATTTCATTCAAGTAATTAGTGGGAGAGTTGAGAAAAAGTGGGTTAGTACTGAGAAGTCAAGATTCATATAAGTCAAAATGCATAGATGTTGCGTAGGGTGAATGAACGCAGGTGGAGAGAGGGGGTGCAGAAAAATCACCGAATATAATAAACGCTAGTAGATCAAGAATACGGAAAAGCTTAAAACTTTCCAACAATATAATATAAATATAAATATGTTTTTTTTAATTCCTAGAAGGAGTATAGGGTCGCAACATTTACTTAATAGTCTACTGTTATTTCAGAGATAGAATCACATATATGTTTAAAGTAAGCTTAAAAATTGTTTTTAATTT